CACTCCTCAGAAGGAAGGTTGGGCAATCTACTTCCGTATTGATACTGCCTCGGAAACCCAAGGAGGGGTCACTATGAGTCGGGACAGACTCGATGGCACATAACAACAACAACAACACTTCTGATTAGAAAAGGGAAATCCAATAGGCAAAATATCAACTTTCTGGAGAAAATCTAAGTCTGTATCCCTCTGTCAGTATCAAACTCTATCATCCTGGCTTTTAGGGATGACCACTTTCTATGAAGGCACCTCTGCCAGGCTTGTGTATGCCTTTATGAAAGAGTATTCCAGGACAGGAAGCTATTTCACTTCTTTTCCTCTCCACTAGAACATCAAATCTTTCAGAATAAAGATAGCTTACAAGTAGTAACTGTCACACCATGTCCTAAGAGCATTATCTGGGTGCTCTTCAGGAAGAGAAGATGATGGTAAGGCGGTCATCTTGCCATGTAGTCACTTGCAACTTCTTACCTAGGTTTGCTAAGAAGGTATATTACACTACCATTTGTTACCCTCTGGGTGGGAACCATGCCTAAACTTAGAACTCAAGTTAAGTTAACTTGGGCTATGAATAGAGAGCCATGATTCCTGTTTCACTGGTTTGTCCAGAAAGACCTGCATTTGCCCAGCATAGCTCTAAATTACTTTCTTCATGTTCTGGTGAGTTAGAGAAAGAGACTTACTGGGAATCATAATCTGCAGGAAGGACTAACCAGGAGAGGGATTTAACTTTTCAATCCAAGGATACTGAGGTAATGTCTGATATTTTCACAGTACCTCCAAAATGGGATACCTCAGTGTTTCCCCCACTGAGCTCAGTGTTCATATAATGAGAATGGACCTTAATCTCAATTCAACAGTTTCATTTTTTTTCTCTAAAATTTTCCTCTGTTCTTTGCATATAAGTAGTTTTTTGTATCTTTGTGTAGTATTTTACAACATGTATTAAACATATAATTTTTCCCCCATAAAACCCATGAGAACTCTATGTAGCAGTAAGTGTCACACCATGCCCCCATCTGGGTGCCCCTCAGGAAGAAGAGATGATGGTAAGGAGGTCATCTTGCCAGGTAGTTGCTTGCAACTTCTTACCTAAGAAACAGACCCTGGAACATAAGATCGTTGTTGTTGTTGTTATGTGCCGTCAAGTCGGCCCCGACTCATAGCGACCCCTCCTTGGGTTTCCGAGGCAGTATCACTACGGAAGTAGGATTGCCCAACCTTCCTTCCGAGGAGTGGCTGGTGGGTTTGAACCGCCAGCCTTCTGGTTAGCAGTCAAGTGCTTTAGCCACTATGCTACCAGAGCTCCTAGGAACATAAGATTAAGGATCCTAATTTCCACACCCTTCAGATCTGGTTGTTTTGTATAGAGTTTGGCTGCAAGTTGGCCAGCTCCCAGAATGAAAGAAGATTTATCATAGAACTCAAGAGGGTGTGAAGCCAAGAGGAGGAATGGATGAGACAAGCAGAAAATAAAGAACAAACTACAATTGGCTGACAACCTTATCCATCTCTCTCTCCATGTTTCTTTTCCTTCTCATTGTCTCCTGCTTGCTTTCTTTCTTGTCTTATCAAAATAATCAGCTTTCTCATAACTCTAACTGGATACGCTAGGAGTGTTAAAGAGGAAAGATGTCACTTTGAGAATGAAGGTGTGCCTGACTCGAGCCAGCGTATTTTTCCTTTGCCTTATATACATGCAAAAGCTGGACAATGAAAAAAAGACTAAGGAAGAGTTGATGCCTTTGAATTATAGTGGTGGTGAAGAATATTGAATATTTCAGGGACTGCCAAAAGAACAAACAAATCTATCTTGGAAAAAATACAGCTGGAATGTTCCTTAAAGCAAGAATGGCCAGATTTCATCTCACGTACTTTGGACATGTTATCAGGACATATCCTGAAGAAGGACATCATGCTTGGAAAAGAAGAGGGTCAGCAAAAAAGAGGAAGACTCTCAACGAGATAGACTGATAATAATGGCTTTAACAACAATCTCAAGCATAGCAATGATTGTGTCTTTGGCACAGGACTAGGCAGTGTTTTGTTCTGTTGTACATGAGATTGTTATGAGTTGAAATTGACTTGATGGCACCAATCAACACTACTAAGAGCTACTCTACACAATATCCTTTGTGTAACTCAGATAGGAGAAATGGGGAAAGGAGCTGGTACTTGATGCAACTTCAAGGTCCTAAGTCCTTAAGTGGGGTCAGTAGTTTTCCTACCAGTCCTCCCTGTTCTCATAGCCTCCACACACTACATCAACCCAAACCATCCTACCCCAAATGTCCACTCCAGGAGAGAGGCCCATTTCTTTCAATTTGTTATAGAGTAGTTAACACTGTGATCTGGTCATGCTGGCTGTACCATATTAAACACTACCTCCTTAGAATCCAGAGGTTTTGTTTTTTTTAATTTTGTCATACCATAATTGGGTTTTATACATCTTCTAAGAATAAAGAAAAAGCCAAAGGAGTAAAGATAACAGAATCTGCTCTGAGTTCAGCAATTCTTAGCCAGGCCCCTTTACTTATGTTTTTGTACTTGTTACACTGACCATACCATTTAACTGACAGACTTCTTTCCAGACATAATCTCAATTGTCATCACCACTAATGCAATGACATTTAACTTATACTAAAACAACTGTAATGAAATAGAGGAAAACTCAACTACAACACTGTTTCATACATTTTCAAAGTAAAATGGAAATGTATTTTTTTTTAAAAATATTCAGTCTATCTGGAAAAATGGAATAAGAACCTCATTTGATAAAATATTCTATTAA